GGCTGGGCCATGACACTAACCAGCACACAAGAGAACCAGGGGGTGGATTCTGTGGGGATATGTGGGCCTAATCCTATAGAAAGAGAAGTCCCATTGGTTAGCTTAAGAGTTGGAGTAGTAATGGGATGAGCTAGGCATGACCACAGAAACTGTCAACACTCATGGGTACTAAGGCTTGGAACAGGCTGGGCATGTCCAGGATGCAGCACCTGGATGCACACCCTAAAACAGGCTGTGGGGTGGGCTGGGCCACAATATTCACCAGTTCATATAAAGGCTGGGATGGAGATGGCAGGCTGTGCTGGGTGGTTCTCTGGCAGTGGGTCTGGGAGTGAGCCAAGTGGGTGAACCTGGGCAACTCCCCCATTGGGTCATAGCTCCCACTGGGGAGCATATGGGCCAGGCCTGGTGGATGCACAGGTTGGGTAAGGTAGCCCTATGCATTGGTAAGTGTGGGGGTTGGTTTTGGAAGGGGACAGACCAGACAGGTTTGAGCAGAACTTAGGCCACTGGCAATACAAAAACCAGGCTAGGGGTTAGGTCATTCCAGGCTAGGCTATCAAACCTATCAGTTTACATGAGCCTGGGATGGGAGCAGACTGAGCAGGGCCATGTAGCAGCACCCGCCATCAGTAGTTGGGACTGGGAGTAGGTCAGACCAGACCAAGCTACAGCATCCAAAGGCAAAGGCCAGGACAGGTAAGGTGCTATGCCAAGTTGGGTCAGAGATACCGCTGACACATGTGAGGTCTGTGACTGAGATTAAGCCTGGTTGGGAAGCTAAGGAGATGCCCTGCCTGAGTTGTGTAGCCAGAATGGGGGCTACAGTCTGGTATGGACATAGCTACAGTGTCCTTTAGCATGGATGTGGACTGGGTCTGGGGTGTGAAAGATTGAGCTAGATTCAGCACCCATTGGAGCTCGTGAGAACCAGGATTGGTGCAGGATGAGCTGGGCTAGGTCTCTGTCCCTGCTGACCCGTATATGAGCTGTATCTGGGTGTGCACCTGACTTGGCTGGGCTGCAACCCCCAACAGTAAAAACTGGAATGGGTGAAAGCCAGTCACAAAAGGCCACTGTTCCTACCAGAATGGAAGGTGGACTAAGTAGAGCTGGCCCATGGACCCATCTGTGAGTGCAAGATCTGACATTGACAGAGGTTTTAATGGAGGAGATTGGGGAGTTCCTCTTTTTGGACACAGCTCCTTCAGGTGAGTGCAAGAACCAAGACAGGAAGTAGCTCATATCCGGCTGGGCAACAGTCCCCATTGGCATACATTTGGCTCAGATCGGGGCCAAGCCAGGCTAGGCAAGTTCACATTACCTGCTGGTATATCTGAGAACCAGAATGATCTGTGGGTCATGCTGGACCGCAATACCAGCCAGTTTATATTAGGGCCAGCACTGGAGGCTGACTTAACTGGTCTGGACTAGGTGGTAACTCCCACCATTGTGAGCTTGAACTGGGGGAGGATGGTAGTGCCAACAGGCCGGGCCAGGCTATAGCACCTCCTGGCAAATGTCAAGGTGAGGCCGACCAAGCCAGACTGGGCTGCGATGTTAAACTAGCACATGCGATACTCGGGGGTAGGGAACAAACACAGTAGTGGAGCTGTGTGGAGCTCCCCTGCTGAACCACTACTCTCATTGGTGAGCATGAGAGCTGGGATCAGGGATAGACCAGACTGACCAGGGCTGTAACACCTGTTGGCCTGCATATGATTTGGACAGAGGGAAAGCCAGGCTGGATGGACTGTTTCTACTGGTGCATGCATAAGCAAGCATGGGAGAGGGATGGTTGGGCTTTACTGCAGCACCAGCTGGCAGATGCTAATACTGGGGGCAAATACTGTTAAGCTAAACTGCAGAACCACCTAGAGTGCAAGATCTGGGTGTGGGAATGGGACCATCAGGGAAACAGTGGTCACCTCCCTCTTGCGTTGCTACACTGACTGCTGAGCACAACAATCAGGACTAGAGCCGGTATAGCTAGACAGAGTGGTACCTACCAAGACCAGTGTGGACTGGATAGTGAGGTTGGTTGGGATGGACAAGGCTTAAATGCCAATGGACATATATGAGAGCAGAATGGAATGTGGACCAGTCTGCTGTACATATTGGCAAGCATGGGAACCAGGGCAGGGCACGTGCCTGGTGGGGCCTATTGTGAGTTGTTCCTACTAAGCTGCAGCTCCCACTGGTTTGGTTGGCTGCATTTGGTTGTGTGATAGCCAGGTGTGTACTGATCAGAATCAGGCTGGACTGCAACACCCATTAGTATGTGTAGAAAAAAGCCTGGAGACAGAACTGAGCCACCAGGCTGACTGGGGTGACAGACTGTGCCGGACCCTGTATTGGCAAGTACACACAAGAATCAGATCTGGAACCATCTCAAATATGATTTCTCTGGGGATTCCCTCAACTGAGCCAATAGACTCAGAACCCCAACAATAGAGAGAATTGTAGGTTCCATGGTCTGATCATGGAGTACATGTATCAGCTGGGCCCCTCAGTGACTTAGACAAAGCAGTGAACAGTATTGCCAGTTGCACATGGAAGATATGGTAGTACATTAGAACCTAAACAGGACACCTGATACGATAACGCAGGTTGGAGGACAGAACAAATTGATCAATTACCCAAGCCAAATGTTGGCAGTGAAAATCTAGACAAATGGAGAATCTAAAGTGGGCTATGTCAACCAGTGAATTCTACACACATTTCATTGTGCTTGAAGTGGTGAGATCAGCAGCAATTCAGAACAGTTAAACAATCGAAACTACCTGAGCAGGACCCTTGGAGCATGCCCCACATCAGGAATCTAGGGGATGGCATCGGGAGGATGGGGTGGCTTCTCCCTTTATACTCTTCCCCCTTCAAACGGATACAGGAATTTAAAGAGAGAATGTAGAAACAATGTTCTTACCCACTTTCCTCTAACCCTTGACACTTTGCACCCTAATTAACTGTGCAAAACTATCAAAACAAACAAACAAAAAAAAAAAACTAGGACTCAAGATCTAACACCTGCAATAGAGATGGTTCCCCAGTGTGTGGGGCCCTTCCAGTGTGTTGCTCAGCATCTCTTGCTCATTCCAATTTCCTCATCTTTAAAACAACACAAAAGGCCATCATGGCATTTCACTTGCTCATTTCTTTAAAGACATTTGACACACAATGAGTCTCTGGGGGCTGCAGCTGAGGCAACTTAATTTTACGGAAATGCACCTATATGTATATCAATATTTATTAACGAAAGAGATTTATACTACATTGAAATGTCACTGAAGATTTCAGTATAGACAGATTAAAGCTTGACATTTTGTGGGCTTTTTAATTTTATCTTTGTGTTTTAAGATCTGTATATTTAATGAAGGGTCGAAATAGCTAAGTTGGGAGAGTATTAGACTGAAGATCTGTATATTTATTTGAAAGTAACACTTACCCAAACTTAGGTTAGGGTGAAGCAGAGAGAGAAAGAGAAACATATTTCCTCCACTGTTTCACCTCCCAAATGGCCACAAAAGCTATACGAGAACCAAGCTGGAGAAAGCCAATTCATCTGGGTCTCCAATAGAACAGACATCTTTTGAGGCTTTTTCCAGGCCATAAGAAGGTGGTTGACCAATAAGTGGAGCAGCCTAGGCCAGAACCAATGCCCATATGGTAGCCCTTTCCACCACATCACAGCCACAGTGCCCACACACACAGCTGGAGGTCACCTCCTCTAGGACCTGGCCCCAGCAACCTCTGCATGGAATGCTCCTGTGCATGCATCCCTTTTGTCCTCAGCACTCAGGATACTCACCAGCACCTCCTCACAAAGACCCTTCCTAAACACCCACTCTAAAGTAGCTCACACATACTCTCTGTATCATCACCTTCATGTGATCATTCTGCATAACCTCCCCATCACATGTCCTCACATGCATGTCTCCTCAAGAGCACCTGCCCTTCATCTGTATCTGTCTAAACAATCAGCCCTCTGAGACCTCACACATTCCATCTTTATCATCCTTCAGATCATAGAAATTAGAAACACCTGGTACAGGGTAGATACACATCAAGCATTTCCTTACTAAATACTACATTATTTATGCCATGTAATCTTCTGGTTTAAATAATGAATGAACGAAGGAATCTCAACTAAACTTGAACTGTGGTTATGCAGCAAGGTGGAGGAATCCACCATGGATGGAGGGTTGTGGGAGGGGTGGGGGGAATCCCAATACCTATAAAACGGTTTCACATAATACAATGTAACTAACAATAAAAAAATAATAATGAATGAAAAATACGAGAAAAGACTGATAATGATGTTAGAGTTTGAAATTTATTTAGGAAGAAAATGATTTCTGTAACAAGCATTTGTAAAAATTTATAATAAAGTCTTGCCAAATGAAAACACAGGATGTCCAAATACTTACGCACCTGCTCTGAGATCCATGCTATAGAAAGTTTGGTGTGTGTGAGTGTGCTATTCCATACAGTTATGTGTTTCGTGTACTTGACCAGGACCATAAGTACATATTCCTTCTCTATGTCTCATGATCTCCAGAGATAAAGCAGTGAACAGTCCAGATACCAAAGTGGGAAAAACATCACCCCCAGTTCACTTTGTGTGGAAATAGAGCAATGCCAAAAAATAAACATGTGGTAACAATCAGAGAGAGGGCTCTGGCATTAAGAATACACATATGTATCTAAGTTCATCAACCTGATAAAACCATGAACACAACTTCACTGCAAGTCTAGATGAGTCTGAGAAAAAACATTCACAATTTTTTTGGTGTGATTATATGCAAGTTTTTCCTCTGAAAACACACCTATATTGAAAGGCTGACATTCTACTGGGTCACATTGACTTGACTTGTGATTAATGCAATTAAATAAATTTTTCCTATTATCCAAATCATGTGCATTTGTAATCTCTTAATCTTTTCCTCAAGGATTTTTGTATCATTTGATCAACCAAAAACTGACATAACTGACATGCATAGCTATACATATTCAAAAAAAGACCATTTTCTTCTGAACATCTTATTCAATGCAACATGCACATCTTTGTTCCTCAAGCTATAAATGACAGGATTCATCATTGGACACACAATGGTGTAAAAAATAGAAAATACTTTTCCTTGAGCCAGAGATTCACCAGGAAGAGGCTTGAAGTATGTAAGTGCTGCCGATCCAAAGAAAAGACACACAGTTATTATGTGGGAGCTACAGGTACTGAACGCTTTGGACCTGGCATTGGAAGAACGGATGTGCAGGATGCTACAGAGGATCCGGCTATAGGAAACAAAGAGAGTGACACTGGGCACGGCTGTGTTGATTCCCAACACAACAAAAATCACCAACTCATTGATGTAGGTGCTTGTGCATGAGAGCTGGAGTAGAGGAGCAATGTCACACATGTAATGATTGATGATGTTGTCATCACAGAAGGTGAGTCGCAGCATGCATGTAGTGTGGACCGCAGCACCCACAAACCCCATTGCATATGCCCAAACTGTCAACACAAGGCAGATCTGAGGAGACATGATGACCTTGTACAGCAGGGGCTTGCAGATGGCCACATAACGGTCATAAGCCATTGATGTCAAGATGCAACACTCATCAATTACAAAGAAACCAAAGAAAAAGAGTTGAGTCATGCACTCAGCATAGGGGATGACATTTTCTTTCACAAAACTTATCAGCATTCTGGGTATGATGACACAGGAGTAGCAGAGGTCCACAAAGGAAAGGTTGAAGAGAAAGTAGTACATGGGAGTGTGCAGGTGAGAGTTCAGAACAATGAGAACAATCAGGCCCAGGTTCCCCACCACAGCCATGACATAGATGCCTAAGAACAGGAAGAAGAGGGGCAGCTGCAGCTCTGGCTGTTGTGTTAATCCCAGCAGGACAAACTCAGTCACTGAAGAGTCATTTTCTGAGGCCATTCTTCCCTCAGATGTCTCTGTGAGAAGTGGAAAAACAGAGGCATTAGAGCAGCAAAACTCAGCTCATCACCAGCCTGATATACTAGGAATGTGTTCTAGATGGGGGAATGAACTGAATCAAGAATTATGATCATTTTCATTTACCTCTCTTACAAATCAAAGAGAAACCTTAAAGTTGAATTCCAAGAAAGACCTACAAACGATTCTGTAGGAAGGAGATTAAGAAACTTTTCAAACGCTCGGGTACTACAGTGCCTCCAGTCCATTCTACCCTTCTAAGGTCAAACCTGACATCACAAAAGCAATGGACCATATGGAGGCATGCTAGGCATAAAGATTGTAAGGAGTTTTCAGGAGAGATACAATCAACACACTCACCCTCTGACTTCAGGATTCAAAGATGACCTCCTATTCTGACAGAGAGGGAATTGCCATGGATGAGCATTGCAGTAAACAATCCAGAAAGAACATTACTTTTTTTTTTAATTTTTTTTAATTAATTATATTGCATTATGTGACACAGTTTCATAGGCTCTGGGATCCAAGCACATTTCTTTCAGTCTCAACAAGTTTAGAACCATGGGAGCCACAGCAGCTTCTTCAGTCTCTGAAAAACTTTGAAACCATGTGTCACAACACTTTCTGGTGATGGTTTTCATCCGTGTCTCCTTGCCAGCATAGGCGATCACAAATGGGATTTGCCAGTACCAGAAAAGCTATTTGGTAGAATGACCCATGGGATTTTTATGAGCTAGGAAATCCTAGGGACCTTATTAGAGAGTTGAAAGACCTGTGTTTCTTCTCTTTCCCCCAAGGAGGTACAAGGGAGCTAATGCTCATTACCTGTCCTATATTTGCAAACAAGTTTATGACAATGGCATTCCCTGTTGGAATAACATTTTTCATGCATTACCATTCCTACCAAATGAGTCATGTACCACTGCAGAAAACTGGTTGGCATTCCCTTCTTCTACATCATATCTCTCTGGATATGAAAAATTAAAATATTTGTTTCTTGTTCTGCTTCTTTCCACAACACGTAGACATGCTTTCTGCAGCCAAATATTAGCATCTGAGTTCCAAAAGAGCAGATGTAATATTTAATCCATTTATGAAATATCTACAAATCAGTAAGAAATAATTGGCACACATGTATTAGGTCCTCAATAAATACTTTATGATAAAAGAATGAAAGAATGATAATCCCTTCCCAAACATCCAAGCGCTTATAGCAAACTCTTCTCCCCTAACTAAGGGATTATATCGTACCTGTGTTATGTTTCTAGACCTGAATGCAGCACAATCACACTTGTGGCATGTGACATGTCATTTCTGATCTCTCAGAGAGCAGCCAAGAGAACTTCTAATAACAAGTAACAAAGAAGCAATTAGTGCAAGAATCACTGGTTTCCATCCTCTATGAACTTGCAGTCTCTCCAAATGTCTCAGTGTATGCCACCACAGGCACAGATCTGACGATCAAAGACAGCTTTGGGTCAGCAGAGGGAGCTCTCAAGGGTGAAAAACCAAGGGTAATTTCACCATAGAAGGACAACAGGAGCCACTCAATACTTTCACTTTTACTTTTAGGCAACAACACTCAATAATAGTCAAAGTGTATAACTAGAAAGATTAATATGGTAATAACTTCAAAAGAAAAATTGTATCGATAATTCATCATCCCATGAATGATTTTCCACAAAGTAGAGTAACTGAATTAGTAACACAATTGTAATTCCAAAAACACATTTATGCAAGTGACATTACAATGGAAGAGTTCTCACAACTGTCACTGTTGGTATGAAAAATAAATAAGAATGCCCCTCAAAGAGAGAAACCTATTTGTTTGCATCAATTCTATCATTCTTACAACCAGAAGAAACACAGAAAAGAATGAATTCTTTAAAATTTGCACTATCAGATTTGTTTGTCCTGGACAAGCAAATTTTCAAGGAAAATCAAATACAAGTAAGTCATTGACCAATGAAAGGAAAAGGAGAAAGGTTTCAATTTGGAAAATGCCTAGGGATAGTTTCCATTCATATTTCAATATGCTATGAGTACAGAAGAGGAGATATGCAACCTAGAGTTTGGAATTGATTGGAACCTCAGAATCCCCCTTTGAAGAATCCAGGTTCAATTCAAGGCTGTTGACCAGCTGTGGTGAATAGGGACTGTAAGAGACAACAATAAGGGCTCAAGTTGTTGAACTTCTGTCAAGTATTGAACTCCTGGTTCCAAGCTTTAAGGATCTGGCCATTTAAGCAATTTAATAAGTAAATCAGTGGGTATGAGTTCTTAAATTCATGTACTCTCCCTCTCTGTCTCTCTCCTGCAGATTATTTCATTAATAATTAATCAGTTCACACCATCCAGTGGCAAATCCGAACACCGGAACAGATTGTGGGTCCAGCCAGGTTCAGTCACAACAAAAGCAGTACACAACACAGAATGCCAAGTTGAGATTGCCTGTGCCACATGTGACTTCAGCACCCAACCAGCACACGTGAGAACTAGGAAGGGAGGGGGCAAAACCCGCAGGAGAATAAGGGGTGGTTCCCTAGCTGGACAGCTACTCCCATTGGAGAACTTGATCTGGGATTGAGACAGACCAGACTAGGCTGGGCTACAACACAAGTGTGCCTCATGTGGACCAGATCAGGGAAAATCCAGGCTGGGCTGATTATTCCTACTGGTGCAATCTACAATTGGAGTGGGTACGGGTTGTTTGGGCTTAGCCACAGCATCAGCTGGCAGAAGCTGGCACTGGGGGCTAGTTTTGTCAAGTTAAACCACAGAACCACCTGGAGAGGGCATAATCTGGGAGTGAGAGTGGCCTGAGAGATGAATAGTGGGCTCCTTCCTGTTAGATTACCACCCCTCACACAGGGGCACAAAAACTAGGACTGGGCCTGATATGGCTAGACAGAGAGACACCCAACAAAATCCGTGAAGGCTGGATAGTTCAGCTGGTTAGATAGAACAAGATTTTAATACCCATTGACATGTATGAGAGCAGAAGGGGATGTAGGACAGACTGAACTTGTCTGCTACACATACTGGTAAACCAGGATGGGGGCGTGCCTGGTGGGAGTTATTGTGGGTCGGTCCGACTAGGCTGAAGCTCCCACTAGTTTATGTGAGGGCCAAGTATGAACTGGGCAGAACCAGGCTGGACTGCAACATCCATTAGTTATAGTGGAAGACAGGGATGGAAACAGAACCAACCCAGCAATTGCAACCACCAGCTGATCAGGGCAATGCACTGTGCTGGGTCCTGTGCTTGCTACTACATACAAGAATCTGGTTCTGGGAACATCTCAAACAAAGTTTCTTTGGGCATCCCCCCCAATTAAGCTTCCAGACTCAGAACCCTAACCATCAAATGACAGAGGACAGAGCAAGTCAATCAACCACCTCAGCTATATGTTGGCAATGAAAATCTGGGCAAACGGAGACTCTGTGATGGACTAGGTCAATCAGTGGATTCTCCAACAACCTAATCATGCTTGGAGTGGTGAGAGTGGCACCAATTCAGAACTATTGAACTATCAAAACCACTTGAGCAAGACCCTAAGAGCATGCCCCACATGTGGGACCTCAGGTAGGTGGGAGACCGAATGGACCTTCTCCCTGAAATCCCATCAGATATACTAAGTAAACAATACAGAACTAATTGTCTTGCCCATCTTCCTCTCTTCCATGAACCTTTTTGCCAAAATTATGTCAAGATTGTAAAATAATAATAATAATAATAATAAATATTTTTAAAAGAAAAAATAATTATTAACTGTTTAAAATAAAACCACGGGAGTATTTGAGTAAATAGGAAAACAAAACAAGAGCAGAAAGAAGAAAAAAATAGTCTATTCTATTTTTTATTTGACTATTAGAAGAAGAACTGCTGTACAGGTTTTTGCTTTTCCTGAGGTTTGTGGCCTCTGGGAAGAATGTGTATTGCAGGTGATTCCTAAGGCTCTTTGCACTCATGTTGAGTTATTTCCCAGTGAAGCAAGGGCCACATTTGCTCAAGAGCTTGCATTTCTTTTTTTTTTTATTGTTATTAACATTGTATTATGTGATACAGTTTTATAGGCACTGGGGATTCCCCCTACCCCTCCCATACCCCTCCCCCCATGGTGGATTCCTCCACCTTGTTGCATAACCACAGTTCAATTTCAGTTGAGATTCGTTCCTTGCAAACACATATCTAGCATAAAGCCCAGCGTCTTATTTCAACTCAAAAGTGTGGAACAGCGTCATTCAGAGCTGAGCCACTTCTGCCACCTTTTTGAGTGAGTTGATAAGGCTGCTCAACCACCCAGTGTTGCATGGTTCACAAGGCCCCCTACAGGTTTTACCATCTGGATAAGGTCTCCTTTCACACAAACAGCTGGATCACAGTGCAGTCATGCATCACTCTCCAGGTTAAGAGCCATAAGGACTTAATGACTTCTTGTCTAAGGAAAGAAAATTTAGGCATCACATTTCAAACATCCACCAGCACCATTTTCAGTCCCTATCCCTTTGCTCATATCTCCTTTCTGAGGAGCTTGGGAAACTACAGGCAAGTAGGTTCTGAGACAAGGTTCAAGACTGCCTGAGTCTCTGTGGCCTGGAAGGATGCCAGCTGGCAGTTATATCAGCTGAGTTATTTCCTTTAATGGTCTGAGTATTTCCTTTGAGTGCTCCTCACAGTAAATTACCTCAATCTCCCTGTGCAACAGTACTGCTGAAGAGACACTCAGTGTCTCTTGATATTAAACTGGGAAACCCTTTGCACTAGGCAGACCCTTCTTAATGCCAGCATGGGCACATGAGATGGGGAATGCGTATTTGGTGTCTCTGTCAAATTTCACTTCAATCCCTCCCACTGTTGTGGAATCCAGTCATAAGCAGCAGGCTTTTGGAAAAATAGATTGAGTAAAAAGGTTTTGTCCATGTATAACCTCCTGTAGGCTAATAGGCCTTCCAGTTTGTTCACACATGTAGCTGCCTTCACCAAT